ATCAGACTGGTTCTTTAACACTCTTGCAAGTTGAACTTCACTCTGCATTGAGTTTTTCTCACATTCACTCCGCATTGAATTTTTCTTACGTTTTAAACTTCACTTTACATTCAGTTTTCCTTACATTTTGCACTTTACAATGATTTATATACAAGCATTATACAAGTCACCATTCTCATTCATTTCAGATGCACAAACAAAAGCAATAGCATGAAAACAAGACTCAAAATTTTATTTATTCACAAACTTGTACATAAGTTTATTACAGTCATTCAAAAAAAAAAAAAACAAAACAAACAACCAAAACTCTAAGTACAAATTTTGTTCACTTCCATCATTCCTCCTCACTTGACACAAGGTCTTCTTCTTCAACGCCCTCGTCTAAGGGGCTCTAGGCCACGTCATTATCGTCAATCTTGACACCACTCAAGTCTAAGTCTGGGAACAGTTCTTCCGCTTTACGCTTGAACATCTTCCACCCGCTGTCCCAGAACTCAACCATTTTCGTGTTTATAGAAGTCCGACCGCTGGAAGCTCTGGATCAGTTCTGCTTCACTCCTGCCCCCAGCGGTCGTCCCCGACGGACCAGCCCCCGTAGCCCCTTCTCTCGCCAAGTTGCTGGCAACAACAGCATCGACGGCCATCTAAAAGTCAGCAGACGCCTTAAATTGCTCTACTGCTGCCACGCATAGATCGGGGTATGTTGCCCTTTCAGAGGCTACCTTAGTTTTTTCTTCCCCCAACTCCTTCTCCAACCGCGCCCTCTCTTCCATCGCCCTAGCACGCTCATCTTTCAGCTCCTTCTGCAGCCCAGCAATCTTCAGGTCTGCTTCATTATTTTCTTTGATTTACTGGGCGTGCAATTTTTCATTACTGGTCATAGCCTCTTCAAACCGCTCGGTGGTGATCGTGCAGGCATTTTGAGCATCCCTCAGCTTCTCCTGCTCGCCAGCCAGCTGGAATTCGAGCGACACTACCTTGCGGCATTCGTCCTCTAGCTCCAACTTGACCGCGAGCAGCTCAGCATGAGCTCGAGCGGCAACATTGCGCTGCACGATCGCCAGCACCTCCATCTTCTTCGCTTTCTGGGCCTCTTCCAACCCCCTAGCGCAAACGCTCCATGCGGTCCTCCTCCACCCCGCAGTTTCACCCCTCAAACTCTCAAGTTGGGCCTTCGCCTCCTCCAACTTAGCCTTCAGAGGCTTTAGTTCACCTTTTGCAGCCGCTGCCTTTCTCAGCAGAGCCCCTGCTAAAATGGTCGCCTCCATTTGGGCAGAGCACAGCCTCCTTAGCAGCTTAGCCTCATTGAACTTGGTGGCAGAGCGCACAGCTGCTTCGTCCACTACCCCCAAGAGCAAATCTGCAGCTGTCCTGACTGGGCCTTCTTCTCCCTCCAGTCGCTCAGACACTGCAGGAGCATGGTAGATCACATACTTCACCTTGGGCTACTGCTCCATCATTTCCTTAGGGTCAGCTGACCCACTCTCCACTGGCACCTTGGGCCTGGCACTCAGGTGCTCTTCTTCCTCCTGGCCCCCTTAACCTTCGTCCCCTTGTACTTCGGGGGCAACCACCATTTCTGAGGTCGCCCCCACTGCCTTCTCCCCTGCCTCCTCCGCCATGGGGGTAACCTCCCCGCCAACCCTCATCCTCTTCAACCCAGGCGCATTTGAGGACCCCTTAGGGGCAACCCTCATCATCTTCTTCTTCTTCTTCTTTAGAACCTCCCCCTTCTCGTTCGCCCTCTCCTTCACTGGATCAACTGGGGGCGGTCGTGGCTCAAAACTGCCCAAGTCTTTTTCCTCTAGCGGCTTGGGACGCGGTCGGATTCTTTCCCTTGTGACCGGTTTTGGTGGTGGGCCTAACTGCGTTTCTTTAAACTTTTGGGCTTTGGCAAAAATGGTCTGATCCTCCGCCTCTTGCGCCTTCCTTCTCGCCTCTAGTTTTGCTGGTGCCAGATCTCCACCGGTCGATTGAGGGCCCAATCCTGCGGCGAACAAAGTAGACGGCTGGACGAGATCGTCCCATTTGACGCCCTCTTTCTCACTCCATGCCTTCACCTTTTTCATTCTCTCCTCCGCTACGGCCCCCAGCTTTGGCTCCACAGACTTGGTGGGCACTCTCCACACCATGCGCACTCCTACTTCTCCATTCGCAGACACGTAGAACCACCGCGGCCTCCATCCCTTAATTGATGTCTGCAACCCAGCCACCAGACCCCTTCCTGCCGCCGTTTGCAAAGTGACCCAAGTTTCTTGCTGGCCCGAGGCCTTGTAGCAAGCTAAAAACTCGTCCACCGTCATAGTCGCCCCTTCGTTCGCCTTCGGCCACGCACTTGCACAGGCCAGTACAATCTTCTACGCGTTGGGCATTAGTTGGCCTGGCGCCACTTCCAGTCGGTTTAAGACATCCATAACTACCTGCGGAAGCAGCAACCTCAACCCACCCTTCAATGCCTCCTCGTAGAGGGCAAACTCCCCCGACTAGGCGTCGGACGGCCTCTCCGTTGGTGTTGGTAACATCAATTCTATTTCTGTGGGAACCTGGTATTTTTTGCGCATACCCTCCAACTCCCCCGCAGTAACGATCGACTTGTCAGCCTTCGTATGCCAGTGATCTGGCTCAGCCTGGTTGACTGGCTTCGGATTCGCTATCATTGTCAACGAACGCGGTGGTCCTGCCGGCTCCCCTACTCTCTCCACTTGCCTTTCCGTCCTGTACTGCTCCGCCAACTCCACCGCATCGTCGTCCCCTAGTGGATTAACCCTGGCAGTTCTAGCTTCTTCTTGGGCCATTTCTGTCGTATGTCTGCGAATGGCTTCGGATGCGGGCGCAAGAAAATTCAAAAAGTGTTGCAGAGGCGTATCGCTAGCAACGAAGGAGTTTACACTTAGAATGTTTTGATCTTTTACAAAAAGGTAGGTAAAGCGAATAATACCAAAGGCCCACGACTTGCTTGTATTCCAAGAGTCACAATTAATTCTCGCCAGTTTGAAAATTTTCAAAATTCCGCCACAACTGTCTTTTCAACACCCTATAATGACCTATCGTCTCGCCTATCGCCCAACGCCTAACCTCCCCCACTACGAGATTCTGCCATGTGTACGGCCACGATCCACTGCCCCTTTCCCCTTCCCTATCTATTCCACTTCACTTCAGGACGTGCCCCACCATCTCTCGAGCCCCGCGCCACACCACTCGGCCACCCTTCGCGGTCGGCCTTCCGCATGGTCGGCCCCCCCCACTCGGCCACCCTTCGCGGTCGGCCTTCGGCAGGGTCGGCCCCTCCACTCTCGGCACGGTCGGCCCCTCCACTCGGCCACCCTTCGCGGTCACCCTTTGGCACGATCGGTCCCTCCACTCGGCCACCCTTCGCAGTCGGCCTTCCGCATGGTCGGTCACCCTGCTCCGTCGGCCTTCACCCTGCCGGTCTTTCACAGCCCTCATTCTCTTCAATATTCCCTTCGTTGGACTAAAGCTGCACTCGGGAATGGGGGACTACTGGCATGGGTAAGCCCATAAAGATTAGAGCCCACCATTTAGAGCCCAACACATATCTCAAATGCTAAAGCCCAGTACCGCCGAAGCCCCATGTAGCAATTAGAACCAATGACATCAAGATACGTGGCAAGAAAAGGGCAAGCCACATCAGCAGACAAAGATCTGCAAAATTATTGCCACTGCACATCGCCATTAATGAGGCCCCCTTACAGCATTTATTGCGATAACCCCTCTCCGTCGGGACAACACGCCCTCATCCTGAACAAGGTAAAGCTACAGCATAGACTTTCGGCCAAGGTGACAGGTCGGAAGAGACAACGTAATGATTACCAAAGGATATAAGCAGACGTCGAAGATATGTAGAAGGTTAAGCTTTTCTATCTCTATTCCATCTCTACACTTCACTTCCCTTCCTAACTTGCTCGTCGGAGGGTTCGCTGGGGAATTTCCTGTTCCCCGTTGGACTTTTGTACAGGTTCCTCCGTGGGCTTGGTCATTCGGACGTAGGCTTGAGGAACGTGGATCAGTCCGACTCGTCCCGTCTTCAGAACCGTAACATCAAAATTTTACCCTCATAATAACACTTTATGCATTAAGAACAAGCATAAAAATAATTTTTTGAAATCCAACACATATGAATTTCTTGAAAAGTCACAACACATGATTATTATCTCTCATAATAACATTTTAATGTATTAAGAACAAGTATAAAAAAAATTTCTTCAAAATCCAACACATATGATTATTATCAAAATATTAAATTTTAATATAATATAATAATAAAAAAAGACATTTAATTCCTTGAAAAGTTTAAAAAATATGATTATAATAACACTTTAATGCATTAAGAACAAGCATAAAAAAAAGTCTTTGAAATCCAACACATATGAATTCCTTTAAAAGTCACAACACATATGATTATCATCCATCATAATAACACTTTAATGCATTAAGAACAAGCATAAAAAAAATTTCTTCAAAAATCCAACACATATAATTATTATCAAAATATTAAACTTTAATATAATATAATATAATAAAAAAAAGACATTTAGGTTAAGTTTGGCATAACCTAAATAATATAAAAAGTCAAAAAACCACTATTCTATTTAAGTCATATCATGTTATTTAAATCACATCATCTCTCTAACACATCACATCAAACCCAACCCAAACCCAATCCATATAAGCCAATAAGTCAAAAAGTACACTTTTTTAGAACATCCCAAACCAACCCTTAATTCCTTAAAAAGTCTAACACATACGATTATTATTAAAACATTAAATTTTAATATAATATAAAAAAAAATAGACATTAAAAAAAAAATATTTAAAAATCACAATTTATATATACAAATAATTATAAACATAACACAGGTGACATACTGGTCTTTCATTAAATAAAAAGTGTTTAGTTTCCATCAAATTTTACAGATAACCGTTGAGCCGAACACTGGCTCAAATGTCCTCCCAAGCAGCTGAACTTTCTTTATTTGAATTTCAATTTTTCCTCATGACTCAATGTCTAGCCGGACATTCTCCCAAATAAAAAATTTGATAAAAATTTTAAATCTACTTTTAAAATGCATCGTGTGAAATTAAATTTTTATTAAATTTTTGTTCAAATTTAAAAAAAAAATTTTAATGCAACTTTGGAGATCCCCTCGATACTCCCTCTTTTTAGCTCTCAGACAAAAAAACACCACGCAAACCACACTTCCTCTTCCACCCCCTTCATGGCGGAGCCGATCGGTCGAACCGAACCGGACAATAAGCGTCTAAAATACGCCTTCGACGCCGGCTTCTTATCCGGCGCACACCCCTCCGACACTCCCGACACCGACGACGATGGAGACTCCGTGACTCGACGGAGCTCCGACTCGGAGAGTTCCGATTCCGACACCGACTCGGAAGGTTTGAACGATTTGGCGGCGAGTTTCCAAGTCTTCTCTGAATCTATGCTGAGAATGGAGCTAGCCGAGTTGGAGATGGCCAAGGCAAGGGAAGCGTCGCGGTTGGAGGCGGAGAAGCGGCGAGCTCAGCTGGAATCCGAGTTGACTCAGATGCTGCTGCAGACTCAGTTGCAGATCGCGTCGTACATTTCGCAACCGAGTCCTACTTCGAGTCGAAAGCGAAAGCGCTCAGATGAAGATAATTCCTCGATCTCTTCTGAGAGGTAAAAAAGTTTGTGTGAATTTCTCTCTCTCTATCTCTCACTCTTCCGAGTCGAGTTTTAACTCAGTGAGTTCATTTCACTTTGCTGAATGAATGCAGGGAAGGAGGAGCAATGTTGGTGAGTTTGCTCCAGTGCAATCTGATCTAATTAATGGACTCTACTTGATTTCTAGAATTTTATTTCTAAGTGTAAAATGTTCTAATATCATGCAACTATTGAGTCTAATAAAAATAAATGTCTTTGTTAGATCAACATTTGCAAAATTGTCTCTTGTTAAAGACAAAACTCGTTAATTTATTGAAAGTTATGATTCTCCGAGGAATTAGATAGTGGGAAAAAGTAAAATATATATATATATATATATAAATTTTTCTTGCTTGCATTTTCTTTCATCAATTTTCTCGGTAATCAAACAATGAATGAATGAATGAAGGACTACTATGGTATTGGCTAGTAGATGAAGCACTACCTTTGTTACAACACCTCCCAAAAAGATCAATTTGGACTTAAATAACCTACAATTCCATTTTTAAAATAGTGAAGTCACCTGCGATAAAATAATCAGAAATCACTATGATACCAGGGCAAAAAAATTCATAGACTGCATTTGTGCCAAAAAAAATTCCCATTTGGAGCAATGTGATATAATTCATCGAGTATACAAGTGTTTAATGGCATTATAAAGCACAAATGCATCTTCGAAATCAGTACATTCCTATGATCAACATCCATGTAGAGAGGCCTATGTTAATACCAAGGAATCTCCAAAACCAATATGATACCCGGGTAAACCACATTGAAAACCCAATTAGCATAGTTCTATTAATCAAAATAATATGAACAAAATTAATCTGCCAGTTTTGTCTTTACAGGTAAAAGAGTATATATATATCGCACTGTGTTATATGTAAATATCTAATATCATCCATGATTGGTTCAACATCACTAACTACATTGGTACATCTTGCTCGAAGAGATGACATGGGAACAAACCAAAGTGAACAAGTCACTGACGCATCCTTTTTGACCTTCCAAAAGTGCCTGTTAGCATATACATTTATGGTTTGGTCATTATGTTATTATGAGTCTGATTAAAAAAAAAAAAGAAGAAAAAAAGTGAACAAATTGGAGAATACCTTAGACGAAGTCTAACTGCGGTTTCTTGGCAGAAGGATCTGGGCTACTTTGATCCGCAATACCAAGTAAAGCCCTACGCCGGTCCATAGCACTCTCAATGTATTCTTGGAGAGGTGGAAGCGACCCATTTTCTGCATCTTTATTTGCTTGGCCTCGAATGATCTGTGTATGGATTTGTTAACAAGACCACAAGAAGAAGATGACAATTACCAGGAGTTCTATTACCGTTATTACCTTAGATGCCCAGCGTCGCTCTGCTTGCTGACAGGCGTCCCTGATGTCCCTTCCAGACATTCTACATGCCAGCAAGTGCCAATCATGAAGTGAGAAACCCAAAAAAAGTGTTTTAAAAGCCTAACATTGTTAACACTTCAACATCATCTAGAAACAGATTTAAATTGAATGAAAACAGAAAATTTCTCCATATATAATAGTGGGCAAGCTGTGTCCTATGATAATAGCAAGGATGCTGCTAGTACCAGACCAATTTCTTCTTTGGATCCCCACTTGTTAAAAAATTATTACAATTTTAACCTATGATAAACTATCAATTCTACCCCCACTCCTAACATTCCAACCCTAACCTTACCCCCAACCAGCCACCAACCCCAACCCTGGGAATGGTGGGGAGGAGAGGGGAGGAAGAGGGTGGAGAGGAGAGGGGCTGGGGGGTGGAGGCAGGAGCTGGTAGTGAATGGGGGTAGGGTTAGGGGTAGGGTTTGAGAGGGTGATGGTGACTTTTGGTATTCAGTGGGGTGTCCAAATTTTTTTTACCAATTTGAATTAGTTGGTGGGAGTCCAAAGATATTATGTGGATGCTATTAGCAGCACCCTAACAGCATTCAATCAAATCACCAAAAAAAAAGAAGCAATAACTAAACACAAGAAGGGAGGAGATAGAATATACAAACCCCAAAAATAGAGAGATGGTTGGGAGGTGGGGGGAGAGTGGTGATTAATGATGTGTTTCACTCAAGTAATGGCATGATCAAGATAGATTAGTTGGATATTTCAAACTTACTCATCAGTAACCTTGGCAAATGCAGCTAAATCAGATTTTGCCAAGTGCTTTGCATACTGAGCTGCTATTTCCTGACGGGTCTGCTGATCTGGTAAGCCAAAGGTGATCATAGAATCAAACCGACTGACAGAAATGAATGAAACGTATGTTAGTAAGCCTTGAATCAATTCTGCATATAACCGTCATATAAGAAAATGTGCACTGGTATACCTAATCAAAGCAGGATCAAGGTCTTGCTTTCTGTTGGTTGCAGCAATGACCACCACTTTTTTCTCCTGCTCAAATCCATCAATCTGCACCAGAAGAGTAAAATTTACAAAGGCCACAGCAAAAACTGTCTAATTCAGCTATATCCTATTTAGTTTAACACATGCTACCAGAGAATGATTACATCTATCATTTCTCGAAAGTATTCAAAGAACATGACAAACAACGAAATTTGAGAAAAACACAATCCCACTTTTGAAGGGAATAGTAGGCAGTAAGTTGCAAGGTGTTCGAGGTTCTTTGGATAGTATGAACTGGGAGAATAACATTTTAGACAGAATAGTGCAAACTTCAGTGACAATAACATCATTCAGGAAAATTTAGCAAAATTGTTATACCTGCCGTAATAACACTGATAAGATTCTACGTGTAGCTTCATGCATTTCATTGTCACGAGCAACAGCAAAAGAATCAACCTGTAAATCAGAATGAAAAACAAGTAACAAGGTAATTTCATTTGCAAGAAACTTAAGTTAAACCAGGATAGGATGCATAAGAAGCATAAAAAAAGAAATAGGAAAATAAAATAGGGGAATTGAAAGGAAAAAAAATGAAAACAACTCAAAATAAAAGCACTTTCATGGAGGTGCAAGTAAGAGTTGTGTCCCATGCCACAACATGCACTTGCACCTCCGTGAAAGTTGAAATTATTTTAATTTGTTTCCACTTTTTGCAATTTCCCAAAATATATTACCACATTATTAAAATGGCACATATTGTGGTGGAGCTGTTTGCATCAATTACCTCATCTAGAAAAATAATAGCGCCATTAGGGATCTCATTGGCGAGGGAAAACACTTTTCCTAACAATCGTTCGCTTTCACCGTAATACTTTGACATAACAATCTCCAATGGCACATAAAGCAATGGAACACCCTGCCATGGAATATCAGATGCATGTTATTTTTAACAAATTTAAATTTAACTCGAGTGCACATTGATACTAGTAAAATACCAATAATTTTGTATACACACCCAATGCAGTACATTTCATGTCATGTGCATGCAAAAGCTTTCAGTATATGTCAACCCGCTAGAAGGGAGATAGCAAGATATTATGCCATTTATCAATGTCAGAAGATAAAGTGTTTATTTATTTAATTTTTTTCAGAAAGCAGTGTTCACCATCTGATGGGTCCACACATTCGAAGTTTCCTTTCTATCTTGTATGAGTTTTACGATGGAAAATGCTCAAAGCAGCCTTTAGGGCTGTTGTTAATGTTGAAAAATGTGCATAGTGCATTGAAATGGGTAAAGAATGAATAAAAATATGTAAAATGTGTATTGGGATCACAAATATTTTGGTATTATGTGGTTCTTACTGACAGCCCTCAGGGCTGCCATTAGCAAGACCCTTTCATGATATCCTAACAAGTTATGATGCTTCAATCGATGTTAGAACTTTTAAATATACCACTACGATCACCTTACCATAAATTTACATTTCAAAATGTAAACCAACCAATATATACAAAGAATCTTGAAGGAGAAAAAATAAAATATCAGCCAAAATTATGTAGAAAATCAAGATTATTCTAATGGAGCACATGGTCACTCCACAATTTAAAACTATGTGAGTGTTTGGGAAGTTGCTATTTTAGTAAGCTAAAATTTTTGTGTTTGGGAAGATGATTGGATTTTTTGTAGTTGGATGTGATGTTTGTGAGAGAAAAAGTGAAATGATTATGGGTTTGATGTGACATTTTGTCTTATTAGCTATTTTAGTCTATTTTGTGAATTTTAGCCTAAACAAAGCTAAAACTTTGCTTGCCAAACACCCCCTATATCTAGCGGAATTAAAAGCAAGGCCAAGAAACAACTAATAAAATTATGATTAATGTGCCAAGTGGAATACCGCTTGATTAGCTATTACACGAGCACAAGATGTCTTCCCAGTACCTGAAATTGAAAAGGCATTATGAGGAAGCAAATCTGCCAATTGGCAAACTTAAAACTACGAACTAAAGTGCTAGCTTCATTGGTTCAATTAACAACATTACTGAAGAATTAAGAAATTCAAGATAAAGCCAAGAGAAGAAAATCCCAGTCATTGATTAGGTCTTTACTAGTTCAAATTTAAAACAACAAAAAATGCTCTCTGAGGAGAATTATAGAGTTAAAATTTAGATTCAGCACCTAATGATTCCAATGAAACACAAACCCAACCATTACTGCAATGCCACATTAAACTCTTCAAACATAAGACGCTAAATTTGTCTTTAACCCTTATGAAACTCGTTAAAAAAATGACAAGTTCACAGTAACATGCAACACATTGTGTACAGCCAGTCTTGATTCCCCCACAAGAGAAAGTCTATGAAGCATGGACATGGACCTAAGACATGATATAGACACATTGATATAACCAACTCCAGGAAAGTTAGATTTGATGCGTCAAACTAGAAGGCAATTGTGTTGGAACACTAGTGTGACAAACTATCATTCTTTACGAATATTCCTAATGTCTTAAACTTCAAACCTATAATATCAAAACTCTCACATAAAAAAAATTACAGCAACGTTATATGAATTTCGACCAAATTCAATGGAATTTAATCTCAATATATCCAATCCACATTATTTATAAAGTATCCCAAAAAAGAAAAAATTCAATATATCCCAATCCTCTTTATAAATAAGTCAAAGAATTTGAAACTCTTTTGCTGTGTTTGGTTGGGGGATTTGAAAAGAGAAATGGAAAAGGCAGGTGAAATGTGAATAAAACATACCTATATTTCACCTAGTGTCACACACCTTTTTCTTTCCAAATCATTTCTCAAATCCCCCAACCAAACACAACATTTATGTTCTTCTAAGAACTATACTCTAATTCTAGTTGAAGATGCCATTATTCAACATTCCAGATGCATCAAACGTGTCCTTGAGTACTCCAGAAATATCATATACTTACCAAAACTAATTTCCACATTAACGATATGACTAGGGATTGAGAGATTAGAATTCACAAGAGCTCAAAAAGTATCAATATCCACTATATTCTATATAGATTTAACTGACTTGCACAGGCATTTTAATACATAGAAAGATCAAGCACGGTTCCACATGAGATTCAAAGTCGACCAACTGGGAAAGAGAGAGAGATCAGCCTTGGAATGAGGGCTTGCATTACTTTTAATCCAAAGGTCAATTGCTCCAACAATTAGGGGCACAGGATGGATTGCTTGTTTCAATCCATCACACAGTGCAATTACTGATTCAGTATGTTCTTTAAATATCCATTACACAAAAATTAAACCCACAAACATAAAGAATCATCAGACTCAATGACGTTGGGGCTATAAACATTTCATTTTCCCTTCAACATCATGAAAAAGAAGCAATGCCATCTATTGATTCTTCTAGCATTAGTAGAACCATATGTTTTCAAATGTATTTGAGAGTCTTATTCTGAACTAGAACACAAACCTGGTGGACCTTCAAAGAGCACTGCTCGCGGTCTATTTGTCTCAAACTTAGTACGGGTTCCTCGAGCAATGTCATCATACACTTCAGGACTTTGAAGAGCTAACAATATTGTGTCTTCAATGTCCCTAGACAACAAACAATGAAAAAAAATCAAATTTGAACACCTCCTCGGAACAACTAGCAGCCCTGAATATTGAAGGGTTACCAAAAACAACTAAATCCATGATTATTATAATAAGATTGCAAGAGATGCTGAAGGGTTAACAAAAACTTTTAAATCTATGATTAAGATAAATAAGACATCCTAGCAGACATATCATGGTTGCATGGCGCAAACCTAGAAACAGCTGAAGATAATGTGCTTCAGGCTTGCATTGTGAACTACAAAAAGGATTTGGCAACTAGAAGTTTAAGCCAAAAAGTAAAAAAATCACTATAAGCTGTCACATCACTCTCTCTACTTTTTTATACATCTTTTCGTAAAAAGCCAAAATGTTATTAAAAAAGCTTGTTCCCAAACCAAGCCTTATATACTAAATTCAACAACAATATAGCAATAAAGATGCTACAAATCCTAGATCATAGCTTACCGTTTTTGCTGATTATATCCAGCAATATTGTCCCATGATATCTCAGTCTGTGAATGACCGAGATTGGGCTCATTAAGTCCATAGATTCTCACTCCCATGGCCTCTAGACTAGAAACTGATTTTTCTGAAGATGGCTTCTGTGTAGTATCCCCCCTTGGTTTTGTTTCCAAGGTTCTATTTTGTCTTGCTAATTGTAACACAGATACCAAAGCATCAAGCTCCTTGGAACTAAAGCTCCCCCGCTTTATGAACTCAATTTCCTGCACATATTATACAAACTGATATGAGAAATTACTTACATAAGTGTTTTTTTTTTCTTCCAGTTTTAAAGTAAGCTAACAAAATGGAAGAATAAATCCAAATGAAAATGGTGTCATAAATAGCAAGAAATGAAGCAAAACCGCTTTGTCAGTGCTAATGAGTGAACGAAACATGAGAATGCATAAATCTCCGTCAAGTGCATTTGTATCATCTGGATGCCCCTGAACCCCACTAGTTTCTTTTTGTTTTTCTGGACGACTAAGTGTTAGTTGCCAAGCAACTGCACTGAAACATAACCAAAACAATTATTTAGTATTCATTATAATTAGTTTAAATATATAATGACCCAGGTGCACATCTGATATACTTCACCAGTGATCCTCATTAAGGCAAAGAAAAAGACTAAATAACTGCTTGATAAAATTGAAGATTTAAGAATTGTAAATTTTTAGGACTGTAATTCTAGAGAAGAAATATTTAAGCACTGACTTTTTAAATCTGCAAATTTTAATATAAACATATTAGTTGAGGGTAACTTAAAATAAAAACTACCTTTCATTGAGTGTAGTAAGCATTCAATGGTAAGTCAAGTAAGTCTCTTTGACTTCAAGTTAACCAATCAAAAAATAAAAGGAATCTTTCTGGCTTAAAATTAAGATCCATTTTCAGTCATTTCCAGATTTAAGTGGTATGTGATTATGTGTTATCAAAAGCACTTAATCATGAAACTAATGAATGCATTTACTTATAAATACTTAATTAATTTTGTCATCAAACAGGGTTAAAATCACATCATGTGTTACAAGGACTCACGTACAAGAATCGGCTGTGGGTACACGTCCAAGCATCAGACCTCCCTAAACCCTTAATCTTAGGATATAGGATTGGGATGTGGATACGTCCTGAACAATTAAAAAAATTATATATTGTATAATATCCGGACATAAGATTTTATTATTTACGAATGTACTAGAAATTTAATTGGATTTAAGGGGAAAATATAAGGAGAGGCTATAAATTTTTCTTTACTATCAAATGTGAGTTCCTTCTTCAAACATTATTAAAAATTAAAGAATCTGAATGCCTAATTTAGATACGATGGTTAGACACATATTTCATACCTTTACCCTTATGTTTAATGGACACAGGGGTACACTACAGGATAAAAGAGTCCATGTAACATTGATCACATCTATGAACATAAGACAATTGATTATCACCACAGCCAAAGCATCAGACTAACCTATCCCAAGCCCGCAACACCATGTCTGATCCAGTACCACGGTCTTCAACCTTCAGTCCAAGGCTTGAAACAAGGTTTGCAATCAAGAGTGGAATTTCACAGGTCGGAGGAATTTGGAATTTGATCGTGATCTGTAACATACCATCCTGTTAGAATGCAGTAATAATGATAATGGAAGAAGCCTAATTGCATTCAATCTTAATTTCTATTCTACAATTAAACACTTGAATTGAACACACATAAACCCTACAAAAGGGAAATTGCTATACTAGTGAAGAGAAATGAAATGATCAGATAAAACACAACAATAAAGAAATACTGAGTTAAGAAAATATATATATATATATATGTACATATATGTGATTTTCCTTTACTACAATGTTATGAATTGCTTCTTAAATGGGAATAGCAACACTATTCTGTCAGACTTGAATTTGGTCTCAGTAACATATGAAGAACAATAAAGCAAAAGCCTATTGTACGAAAGATTTCCATCTGGTAGTTTTTTTTTCTGCAGAGATCTCTGTTTATGATGTTGGTCATCCCATGCACTGTTGTATTGTTGATAAAAGCATACCAAGCAGCAGTCCCAAAGGACATAAATCTAAAAGATTTATTCATACTCCAACTCTCATTCAATGGAAAATTTAAAAAAAAAAATGAGACTAATCCCAATATTTACAAATACTAGTCTAATAAGAACAGACACACAACAAGCAACACACCACAAACACGACACAGACAAGCCAACAAGACAAGTTTAAAAAATGCAGCACATGACACGTGGAGGACACGCGCAAAATATATATTTTTATATATTTATTATGTCATACATATATATGAACATTTCAGTCAAAGATGATAAAACAATACAACATAACACAATTTTTAATGTTTAAAGATTAGGGATTAATAGGTATAAATGGACATTATTTTCTTTTATCATTGTATTATTTAAGCTATTTTGTTCAAATTTATAATGTTTTTCATGCGTGTCCCCAAGTGTCCAAAGCATGTTTGGGTCTAAAAAGATTACATATAATATGACAAGTTTGGACGTGTGTTCTCGAAATGTGATGGGAAGTGCCTGATGCGTATCGGTGTCCAACACGGACACACCACCTTCTTAAAAGTATCTGTGCTACTTAGACTATACCCAAAAGCACTGGCATTTGTAGCTCCAAATGAACTTCTAAATGTAAGACCAATTGAATATAAGAGTTTGGGACTTTTGAAATGAAGTGACAAAGGTAGGTGCCAAAGTTCTATAATTGAGGTAGCAATCGCTCTAGCAAAAGTAAATACACTAACCTTTTGGCCCTTAACAGCAACAGTAAACCGAGGATAAGAACCATATAGCATTCCTTTGCTTTTGAGTAATTCCTCTAACCGCTGTCTCTCTTTCCTTGCAATTTCCTCCAAGTCCCCATGACTAGAAGGAGATTCTGATGGCAAAGCAGTTTTTGGAGGAGCCTGCACAAAAGGCAAGTCCACAACAAAATCAATACAATGACAGTGGAGATAATAGTGTGACGGGGATTTTATCAGTTTTATCAGATGGGTATATGCGAATATATTGCATTGTTGATGGGGAGATAATATATTTCTAAAAGTAGACCTCCACAGTTCTCTGTGTGTGTTTTTAGTGTTTATTATAGTTTTGTTATTCATCAACTATTGATTTCCGTTACAAAAAGGAAATTAATTAATAGTCATGAAAATTAATTTTCATTGTGCTATTTCAATTCCCATCATGATCAAGTGCCATGAGGCTCTCTCTGTCTCTGTCTCTCTCTCAAGTTGATGTCAAGTAACAGACAAAACATGCCACATAAACATTAGAAATATCCACAAATGTGAACAATGAACTGAATAAAAATTCTGGTAGCTATACACAGAATACAAATCTGAGAAGTGATGTAACTGTTTGAACTTTGACGCAAGAAAAGGATGACAATGGAAGAATACAAATCTGAGAAGGGATGTAACTGTTTGAACTTTGAAGCAAGAAAAGGATGACAACGGAAGAATGTCCACACTTGGTACTATCATGATTTACAACACCAACATACCAGACACCATGCCTACCAACACACCCACAGACCCCCCCAAAAAAAATCACACACAAACCTCATCAGCATCTGCATGGGCTATTTGTAGTAGTCCAGCTCCAAACAATCCAGCCAAGATAACCGGAGTCACTGATCTCAGCCGCTGACCTTCAGGTGCATAGTTATGGATATGGTGCTCAAAGGATCCTGCTTACATCAATTTTGAGTATTAATATATACAAGCAATAAGATAATCACCATGTCACACTGGACTCATATAGGTTCCTGCCTGTTCTATATCAACAGGAGACGCTTCTTTCCCTGTATTTCACTTCCTAATAGAAACACAACATTGATGACAAAAATGATAATTGAAGATCTTGAAAGTCACTGTTCGGTCAGGGTAAAGCTTTACATGACAATTTTGCTCAATCCATCTTCATGTATTTCTGTAAACCCTTTTCCTATTAGTAAATATTTGACTTTTTTTTATACCTTCCATTTAGCCCAAACTACTAGAGGTCTCTGCTTCATTTTTTTTAACCCCTTTCCTCTTTCTCCCTTCTATAAAACTCCCTCTAAGATAAAAATTCTGTAAGAAAGAAATAAGACAGAAATTATTTATATTTTTAATTAAAAAAGAGTTCATCTTGGACATAGTAGTCTTTTTTTAAAGGGTAAATTACACTGACCTCCATTGAGGTTTGGAAAAGATGTAGTAATTCCCAGACCCTCCCCCCTTTAGTAAGATTAAATGGACCAAAAATAATGCAAATGGTGCGAAAACACAAAAATAAACAAGGTAGTACACATTTGTGTGTAAAAAGATGACATCATTTTTTCAATCATATAACTAACAAATTATCGATGAAAAGGGGGCTGTGTTATATGAATAAAAATCTCAAGAGAGCTCAATGTAATGGAGTTTACTGTATAATTTACCCTTATTATTATTAATATATATATATATATAGAGAGAGAGAGAGAGAGAGAGAGAGAGAGAGAGCTAATTGAAGAAAGAAGGAAAATTTAGTTGAAGCATAAAAAAATCAGATCTTTATGTTGATTACAACAACAGAGAACAAAATTAAACTACAGATAGAAAATGCAATTAAAACTACACGTCCATTCCAATAGTGATTCTACACACTGCTGCAAGAATAAAAAACCTAATCATGTTTACATCCAATTTCATTGAAATTGAGAAGATGACCTTAGAAAAATCAAATGATCAGCAATTCGAATCGACACACGCACACAACACAACACAACACACACACACACACACACACACACATATAGATACAAAAATACAGAGACTTACGGTGATAGGGTTGGCGCTGAGCAGGGGTTAGGGTTTTGGAAGAAGCAAGAACACGACACGTCTGAACTGTCCTCGCGAGTCTTCTCAATGCCGCCATGATCGCTCTCTCTCTCTGTTTCTCTCTCTAGAATTACGAGAGCTCAGTGTCAGCGTACCTGCTTGGCGCGCAAGATTCACCGAAACGGTGCGAAATTCAAGCCTTGACGGAGAGAGTAAAGAACGGAGAGAGTAAAGAATGGAATCGTGTAGTTTTGTGGGGAAAATTATTAAACATTTTCGGATTACTACGCGTTCATAATCGGATTACTACGCGTTCGTACTTCCTATTTCATCATTATTCTTAACAAAATGTTTGGTAGTTCAATTTTTTGTGGCTCAAATAGCTCAAATCTGTCAAAACGACGTCGTTTTACACTCAAAATCTGTCAAAACGACGTCGTTTTGACATATTTGAACCATTTGAGCCACAAAAATTTGAGCTACCTAACATTGTCGTTATTCTTATTCATATTTTTCAATCCGTTAATACAATATTTCATTTATTTATTTTTTTACCAATTATAATCAATTTGTTTAGTTCTATTTTTTGTTTTTACAGGATTTTTTTTAATATTTTAAATAATTTTTTTACTTTTTAGACCCCTAACATAAATATACTTAAAAAATAAAAAAATTATAAAAAAAATCTTTTAAAAATTCACTAAATATCAAAAATATAAAAAATATAAGAATTTAATATATTTTTATATATTTATTAATTTTTAAAAATATTTTTTCATAAATTTTTTATTTTTTAAATACATCTAAGTAAAGTATATCTAAAAAAATTAAAAAAGAATGTTTAAAATTTTAAAAATATACACTAAAAATAAAAAAATACGAAAATAAAAAAATTCAATTTTTAAAAAATTTAATTTAAAAAACTTAAACTAAACAAACTAAATATTACGTGTTCATGCGCTGAGAGTACCGAATAATTATCCAGTTTTGTGAGTCGGTTAATTATCCAGTTTTGTGAGTCGGTTGCGTTGTTGATGGACTTTCTAGAGTGATTTCGAGGGCCCAAGAATGAGTGTTTGGATAAGGGAGCCCAATTGTTTTTGGGCTAAAAGATTCCAGCCTCAAAGCTCAATCTGTAAATTGAGAGGGCTTTGGCCCAGGATGAATTCCAAAACAGCCCAGACCAAAAGCCACATCCAACTGGTTTTTTTTTCTTCTTTTCTTTGACACTCTTTGTCCCGTATTAATCTGAACCATGCTATCCCACTACTGGAATATTATATGGGGAAATTGCAAATCAGTAGTATTACTAAAATAATTGCAAATTTATGACTTTAATTATTAAAATTAATAAAGTATTCTACTAATTTGTGATTATTTTGAGAAGACTTTACTGATTTTCAATTTTCTCATATTATATTTCTCATTAGTTGATAATACTATCGTGGTGTCACCGTTTGTTTCTTAGGAAATCTATAGAAAAATAGAAGGTTTTGATTAGTTTGCACTTTCGTTTTCGCCAAGAAATCAGCATAAACATTTACTCTATTCATCCAATTTTGTTTGTCCAATTCAGGAATTTAAACTTTTTAAGGGCACACAATAAATGTATTGAAATTTAAATTCAAAGGCATTATTTTCAATAATTATCCATTTATAATTATTTAAAAAAAATGATTTTGGAAACTTGCACACTTTATTCTTTTACTTTTCAAAGTGGACAAGTTTTTTAGAACATCTCAAAATGAAAAAGATGGACAAATAATATGGAACAGAGGGTATTTTTTTTGAAGATATATATATAGGAGGGTTTGATGTTGTATTTGTGATGCAAAAACCTGAAGTCCTCTAAGGTAATTTTGTACGAGCTTCTAATCTAGGTAATGTGTGCCTTGAATGGTAATAATAACATTTACCAAATAAGAATGTTAGAGATACAAAATAATTTATCAAAAAATCTATCAAACACTCACATACGTGTAAGTCTCACATGAATGTTTCGTAATATTTTTAATAAATTATTTGAGGTATCTAACATTTTTGTTAAATGAATCACACCTAATCAATACTCTAAAGTAACTTCTCTCTTTTGTGATGCAAATTACTTTATAAAAAAATTATTCAGTGTCACTAGAGATAATATCCACAAAAAAAAAAAATCCTAACCGTCCAATTTATGAAAGATTTTAGGATGGACACATGACATAATCACATCAGTATCACTAGTAACAACCAATAATTGATGGTTGTCCATACTTGATACCTCCTCAATGCCTCCATATTTTTTTCATTTTAGCTTCATGAAATTATTATTAATTAGGAATAAAATATCAAAAAATGTCAAATCGTCACCAAAAATCAAGTGGCTAATATGTTATGCATGTGTGATACCATTGATGGTTACATGCATGTTGGCTACGTACGTATCTCTCCTCCTGAGATCCCTATAAGGAGCCTTTGATGGGATGTTTTTCTTTTTTTTTGAAAGTTGAAGTTAACAGGCTAAAATCCCATTTTGGGAAGTTGCTTCTTGTTTTTACTACGATGGAAGTACTTCCTTGAGCTATTAAAAAACTAATCACTTTTAGTCTCAGTTCGAAAAGTGGATTGATTTTTTAATTTTTTAATTTTTTTGATTATTTTAATTTAGATTAAAAAGTTTGGTTGGGAAAGGACTTTTTGATTTTTTAATTTTTTTTACTTTTTTTATGAGAAAAGAGTGTAATGATTATGGATTGGATGTGATATTTTGTTTGTTATGCTTAAAATAGCCTATTTTGTTTTTTGTGGTTATTTTAAGCCCAAAACCACTTGCCAAACACCACCTAGTTGATTGGAATATGCTTAGAAAAGTTTTTAAAAGCTGGATTGGGACTGTTTGGTATAATTTATTTGAATTGTTTGTAGTTTTTTTTTTTTATTTTGAGAATACGTGTCTAATTGTTTAGTATTACAGTTTATTAAGTAGAAATAAAATAAATAAATTGAAAAAAATAGTTATGAGCAGGGGTGATTTTCATTTCACTTTTTTGATTATCAATTTTGAGCTTACCATGTGTTACACTAAACAAGTCTATCCACGTTTTTCATGTATATATATATATATATTTTTTCTTTTATATATTTTTCTTACCCTAACTTTTCGAGGCCTAAAAAGCCACAAGCTGAAACCAAAACATTTCAAACAATTTAGAACCCAATGAGCTTCGGTTATAATAGTTGGAGAGGGGACTTGTTTGCCTTGGTGGATCCATTTTTGGTGCCAACTTGAGTGATTGAAACGGTTTACTTTATAGGACCAATCAAAAAGATAATTCACATAAAAATTCAAGTTGACCGGACATTAGTAATTTCATGATTAGATTATATTTCTCTTAAAAATTAAAAGAAAATTTAATTTTGAGAACATGCAAAATGTTTTTTAAAAAAGAAAATGTAATACGATTATTTAGTTATCAATGTTCAATCAACTTAATTTTTTATACGAATTTTTTTTTATAAATTTTACAAAATAAATAATTTAAATTATTCAAGAGAGACCCTATAATGAGCCTATCTAATAGCACCTCTCAAATTGTGTTACTAACTGAAAACTCAACTCTTTTTAAAATACTCTTACATTATATTTAAATATTAAATTTGTAAAGAAAAAAAAAAGCTACCTTTTGCTTCATTTCTCGATTTTCTCTTAAAATTTAAAATTTAAATGCAGTCTTAAAAATAAATAAATAAATAAAATGTTTGTACTTTTATAAGTTTGTATTTCAAATTTAAAAACATAAACAAGTTAACCCTCAAAAGAAGTTTCGTCCTCCATTGTACTTTCTTTTTGTGAAACTATTTTAGAAAGGTGGCTAAAAGCTAATTTATTTTTCAGAGTCATATTATTATTATTATTATTATTATTTAAAAAAAAAATTAAAAATTAACTTTTAACCAATTTTCTAAAACAATCCTAACTCCAAATTTCTAACACAATACATCGATTCCATCAATATGGAGAATAATTTAGGTCTCGTTTGTCAATTATATATTTTTACTAAAAAGTCAAAAGTCATTATTGTCAACTACATATTTTAGTCTAAAAAATAAAAAGTCACTATAGAGCATCCACGATGAGATGTCTAAAATTGTTTGTTAAAGTGTGTTATATGACAAAAAGTGATAAAAATAAGGTTCAAAATTATGTGTTAAGAGTTTATTAATTTTAGAAAGTGAATAGTGGTGCAATACATGTGTTAAGGTATGTGTTAAAATGTGTGTTAAGTGAATAATATATATAAATAAATAATAAATAAAATAAATAAATAAACTCTCCATCTCTCTTTCTCTATGGAAGTTCTGCCGCAGGAAGGGTGAGGAGGATTTGGGCCGAACGTTTGGCCGGTTAACTCGGTTGACCGGCCAATGACATTATTTTATTTATTTATTTATTTTTTTTGAAGGGTCCGGACGTTCATAGGGGACGACCGACCGAACGTTCGGAGGATGACCAGCTGGACATCTGGAGGAACGACTCCACGGTACTTTTCCACGTTCTTTCTCTCTCTCTGGTTGGCTAAAATGCTAGTCACAATTAACAAAGAAGATAACAGCTGACACTAACACACTCCACTAACATACTCTTTAACACTTCCACTGTGAAGACAAAAGTTATTGTGGCCGGTTAAATTTTTAGTCACTGACACTAACACCTACTAACACATCTGTTGTGGATGCTCTAAATTATTACATCACTCTCTCTACTTTTGTACACAATTTTTTTATAAAAAGTTAAAAAAATATTAAAATAACTTATTCTTAAAGAGACCTAAGAGGACAACAATCCAATTTATTTTATTTTATTTTATTTTTTAAAATTTAATTAATCACGCCACCTAACAACAAATCACTGTGTGTAAGCATGGACAAGTACACAATATTCTAATCAATGTCCAAACATGCACAATCCTCCAATTTATGTAGTATTCATGGTAGGATATGATTTAGACTGTCATGTCCCTCTAAACTAACCAAAGATATGTATCCTCCAAAACCAACTAAGCATTGACATAACCACTCCTGAAAATCATAGCCACGAAACAAACAAATGTTAAAAATAAGAAATATATATATATATATATATAATTATAGAAAAATTCATTATATTTTCCTTAAAAAAATAGAATTGCTAAATCCGCCACCTTTTATACATCTGATTTGGTGAAGATCCTAAAATGATGAAAAACTAGTGGACTGTACTTTTTCTTTTAATCATGATTTTTTTTTTTATATAAATTTGACTTTGTTTAGATCCTGTAATGATGAAGGCTCATGTACTATATACAGTTTACATTTTGGTAAGACCATGTTAGAAAGATAAACATGACTCAAAGTATAAATTTCATTTTAGGTTTTACATAATTTCATTATTTTATTAATTAGACACTGCATGACATGACATGATCAAGATTTATAATTAAAAAAAATAAAGTATCATAATAAATAAAAATTATTATTTGCATACCTTCATTAGAAATCTTATTTTGAGATATTTGAGAATAAAAATGAAGAAAACTTATTATTAATAATATTTCTTGAAATTCTCATTCCTTACCTTTCAATCCCGGTAAAATGTACCAAAAATAGAGAACCAACAAATTAAAGGGAAAGTAATACTCAACAAAATTAATACAAAAAATTTTATCCAAAATGATATGATAGTAACTTTATTAAGGCTTGATTTGGGAAGTGAGTTGACTTTTTGACTTTTTTGAGTATTTTGACCTGGGCTAAAAAGCTTAGTTTGGGAAGGACTTTTTAATTTTTTGACTTTTTTGACTTTTTTTTTTGTGAGAGAAGAGTATAATGATTATGGGTTGAATGTGATGTTTTGTTTGTTGTGACTAAAATAGCCTATTTTGTCTTTTATGACTAAAATAGCCAAAAAAACCTCAAATCTTACTTCCCAAGCGGTGCCTAAGTTTATGAAGATAAATCTTTTGCTTTAGATGACAGACTCATATAAATTCATATGATCTGTTGGGAATCTGTAACTTTTAATCAAGTTCAGCGAGATAAAAAAAACAAGACAAAACAAATAAATAAAAATTGTAAATCACACATAGATTAATGCCATATAAATAAAAAATTCATACATAATTTTAATGGATAAATTATATATACCTCCCTCGAGATTTAGCTAAATTACAGATATCCCCTAAAGTTTCGGAAATTATAGATACCCCTGAGGTTAATTTGTTATGAAAATATAACCTTTAGGGAGTATCTATAATTTCTTAAACCTCAGGGGGATATCTATAATTTTACTAAACCTCAAAGGAGGCATATGTAATTTGCCCAATTTTAAAACATAATAATTGTGAATCTTTCACTCAAAAACAAAATATCATTAGAGATAAATTTATTTAAAATAATGCATTATCACATCATTTTAAAAAATTTATATACCAATAGAGTTTTTATTTGTATTATAGTTAGAAAAAATATTCTTAACCGCATATACATAAGATAACAATCACAAGTGCAAAAATACAAATATATGCATTTATATATTTATATATATATATATACATCCTTGTTTCAAATTAGAGTCTAGTAATTAGTGTTCCATACCTCCTCACAGAATTCACACTTGTCAACAATTATATATAAAAACCCACTTTCTGGTTAAGTACTTTACAGTGTCACAAATTGAAGTAAAGCAACTAGAGACTTCTTTCTGCTTATAGTTTACACACAAAAATAAAATTTAAAAATAAAATCCACAAAAACAATATAAAAAATTCAAAATTTAAAATATTAATCAAATATTTTAAGGCCACATTAACATTAAAAAGGAGTTAATACACTTTCTTACTGAAGAGACCACGCAGATTAAACAAATTACCGGCACGTCCACCACCGCCACCGGAGCCACTTCCACCACTCTGACCACCGCTAGCTCCGCCGCCCACGGCGGCAGAGGAGGTGACGCTAACCGCACTGCTCTCATCGCTTCTACAACTTAAATGCTGCTTGTACCCAATACACATCGGCACATTCAAACTCAAAACCCTTGCTTTAGACCCACCTCCACCACTGTCGCCACCGCCACCGCCACCATTACCGTTGGCGGCTGTGGCGGAGGGAATTTTTTTCCGGCGAGTTTCCATAACAGCCTTTTCGGCGGCATTCCGAACCACCGCCGGGTCGGAACTCCGCCCGCTACGGCGGACATGCCAAACCGGGCTGCTCCGACCCAAGTGGACCCCACCTCGACTGGGACTACTCGGCCATTTTCTAGACTTCGACTCACCCGCTGAGTTACTCCTTGAACACGGTGCGCTACTCACTTTTCGGGTCACCGCCGACCCGCCACCCATCTTCGGCCTAACGCCGCTGTTCCCGGCGGATCTACTCCGGGAGAAAGGCCATAGATTAATATTCAGCTCCGCCGAAGTCACTCCACCACCACCACCACCAGTATTAGCCTTTCTCTCTTTTCTCTTCTCTTTCTCTCTCTCTTTCTCTTTGTCTTCGCTCTTTCGATCGGTCTTCTTGAATATGTCTCTCCACCGCTTAGAACCAGTCAATGCGGCGGTTGATGGGTCCATCGCCGCAGCTAATTCGGGTCCTGTACCGGTTTCGGAGGCGGGTTCTTCAGGATTTGGAGACGGGTCTGGTTCGGGTGGGTCATCGTGGTGGAGGTGGAGGAGGTGGAGAGGGAGGAGGACGCCGTCGACGAACAATTCGTCGGCGGAGAGGGGAAAGAGGGGTTTCGGACCATCCAGAACTCGAAATCGGGCGAGTTTGAGTCGGTGCTTCTTCTTTTTGTTCTTCTACTAGTAGATGGTGAGATCGTGTGTGGAATTTGAGACCCAGATTTCTCCATACTTGGACTGTCCATTTCAGAAATTCACAGAGAGAGAGAGAGAGAGAGAGAGAGAGAGAGATTACGGGTGTGGGAAAGATGAGGAGGTGGGTTTGAGGGAAGGTTCTCTGTTTGGGTTCCTATCGAGCAGAGCGACAGAGATAGAGAGAGGAGAGAGAGGAGTCAGTGAAGGTGACCCTATAGAGCAATAAAGAATGGAGAGAATGTGAGTAACGAAAAGTAGAGGAGGGGAGAGAGAGGGGATGTAATAATAATGAACCATAGAGAAGGGGAGATATAGAGAATGATAGACAAGCAACATCTGTAAGGATGGTGATTTTAATTCCATCCGCAGAGTTTGTACATACCAGTTTGAATGGGATAAATTTTACGTCATTATGCATTAATTAGTGTAAATATTAGTATACTAATTGATAATATAACATAATTTTAAAAATTTTGAGTATTTATAATTTGTATAATAAATAGAATCTTTAATAATATCATAACACATTAATATGTATATTAATTAATGCATGTAACACCACCGTTCGATACTAGTTATGTATAAGTGGGGATGAATTATATTTTGATCGTCTCTAAATAAAGGGGAGCCTCTCTCTCAATATAAATCTAACCTAACATAATTAATAATATATATAAATAAATAATATAAACATATATATATATATATAATATAATTATATATAAAAAAAGAATATTAAAAATATGTAATTTTGTTTAAATATAAATAACTAATAATTTTAAAAGTCTCACAGTTTATATATATTGAAATAAAAAAAATTATTAAATGTGCTAAAAATTTAAATGGTTCTTCATTCTTTCAACTATTTGAAATATGGTTGGGTATCTGCAAGTATCGGATATCCACAAGGCTAAGGTTGAAAAATTTCATCCATAACAGGGTTGATATTTGTTCGCGAGGGCAGGGGCAAGGAATGGCAAACCAGCCCCAAATTCGTCCCATGACCATCCCTAAATATATGTATATGCTAGGCGTATTTTGACAATTGGATTAAAAGTTAATTTTATAGTTTTTTAATTTTTTGTAGGTCACATTTTCCATCTATTTTTTTAAAATATTTTAAAAAATTTTAAAAATTGACTTTTAACTTACTTTCTAAAATAGGCTATCAAGAAAAATTACCCGATTTGTAATGTAGACCACATGCAATTTTAACATAAAATTATATAAATTTTTACAAATTTACATAAGTGGTCTCACAAAAATAATTAAATTGAACACAAATCCGTTTAAATTTACAAAATCACATAAGTTTTCATAAGCTTACGTAAATTTGTGTTCAATATAAGTATTTTTATAACATCACTTATGTAAATTCATAAAATTTATATAATTTTGTGTTAGAATTACATTACATACCAAAGTATTTTCCATCAATTTATTACTAGATAAATTATACTTTGCTCACTGTATTGTTAGTCACTTTCTCACTTTGGTCCTTAAAATTTGATTTTTTTTTTAATTTGACCATTCACATTTTAATTTTTTTTTCTAATTTACTTCTAAAGTTAACTTCTGTTTAAAATTAGATAGAAAATATCACGATAACTATTACATAACATATAAAATGTATTATTATATTGAGGTTTGAGTTTGTACCAAAGGTGTGAATTATATATAATAAAATATTTTTATGTCACGTGAGTGTTAATATGTTATTTTTTATTTAATTTTTAGCTAAAATTAGTTTTAAAAATAAATTAAAAAAATTTAAAACATAAAAAGTCAAAAACAAAGAACAAATTTTAAAGACCAAAATAAGAAAGGAATGAAACATAAAAGGGAATGTGTAATTTATCCATTTATTACTACTGGTAAACGATCAATCTCTAATTCTTTAATATATGGATAGACAATTCGTGCTTATGGGAAATAATCAAAATTACATACACGAGCAAGCATGTATATGAATAGTATTATATAATATACACACGTACGTGTAGAAATAAGAATATATATACGTGGCGGTGGCGCACATGCACTCCATGGCTGTAATCCTATGTTATGTGAACATCAATCATGTATTTTTTTTTAAGGGAATACTATTATATTATGGCTTGGTTTGGAAAGTGGGTTGACTTTTTGGCTTTTTGATTTTTTTGGCTATTTTAGCCTGGGCTAAAAAGCTTGGTTTGGGAAGGACTTTTTGGCTTTTTGGCTTTTCTGATTTTTTTTTGTGAAAGAAGAGTATAATGATTGTGAAAGAAGAGTATAATGATTATGGGTTGGATGTGATATTTTGTTTGTTGTGGTTAAAATAGCCTATTTTATTTTTCGTGGCTAAAATAGCCAAAAAAATCTCAAATCTTGCTTCCCAAACGATGTCTATATATACCAGGAGCTTTTTTTTTTTTTAGTATTCTAAAAACAAAACAATTTAGAGAATTCCTGCTTTTTAAAATCGTATTTTGAAAATGTAATTTTAAATTAAAATTATATTTTTAACATGCAATTTTATTTTGAAATCACATGTTAAAAATCTAATTTATGATGATATGAACTTCACAAAGATATATTGTATTTTTAACATACAATTTCAAGGTGAAATTATATGTTGAAAATGCAATTTCAATTTTAAAATCGTATTTTCAAAAAGTAGGTTAGTTTTCTAAATAATTTGAAAAGTTGGTCAATTCTCTAAATTATTTTTTTAGAATATTAAAAAAAAATCTATATATCAGTATCTTTTTACAAAAATAATTACAAACCAATAAAAAATTTATCAATATTGATAATCAATGTTATAATTTTTTCAATGATTCTGTATTTATTTTCCTGATACTAGGTTGGATTGTAATTTTTTCTTTTTTCAATCTTTTTTTGAAAAAAAAATGTCTGATGCAATTTTTCACACCATTTTAAAAGGAGTGATGATACTTATGCCTAAAAATTAGATTTAATTTTCAAACAAAATAATGTAATAGTTTATTAGAACATCTAATGTCACTCTCTTTTATATCTTTTTTAATTATCAATAAATTATCTCACTTACATATCATTGAGTTTAGAAAGTGCGTATAAAATAAATTTGTATATCATTTTTCTTTTGAGAGTTTGGTTCTTGTTAATGTGTCAAAAAGGTTTTACAAAATTATATATTTTTTAGAAAAAAATTATAAGTTTTACAAAATTATATATTTTTTAGAAAAAAATTATAAAAAAAATTTCAGAGTTTGGCTCTTATAATAAAATAAATTCTGAATTTTTAATTTTATTAATTTAAATTCTAATATTATCATTTATTTTCAATTTAAACTATTTGTCTATATTCATCAATTTAAAATGGACAAAAAAATTATATTTTAGCCATTAAACTAAATATAGGTGTATATATAACATAATTTTTCATTGAGTTTAATGATTAAAATATTATTTTTTGGTCAATTTTACCTAACAAAAATAGACAGATAGTTTAGTTTGAAAATAAATAAATATTAGAATTGAAATTAAAAAATTCAATATTCAGTTTTTATAAGGGTCAAATTTTGTTTTTTTTTTATTATGACTTATCTTGTTTTTTATTACACTTATTTTCATACAGAATGTATATAATCAAACTAAACCAAATCAAGTCTTAAGTCATGTCATGCAGAATGTATATGTATATAAATATATATTTTTTGTGATAACGAAGTATTCAAGCCAGCATTTTTTTAGGACGCGACGCAATGGCCCGCTAGTAATCTAGTTTGGGATGGAAATCGAACACAAGACATCCGAGAGTTTTCCTCCCTCAACCAACTAGGATAGGACTTATTTAAAAAATTATAAGATGCTCTCAAAGTATATTCTTGGCTAATATATACAATTAAATGAGTTATTTTTTTATCGCTTAATTATCTAACAAAATTTATCAACCTTCTAAAAAAAATTAACTAACAAAATTGTGTCACTATTTTTTACTCATACATTTTTTGGCTACTTATTAGGTTAGAGTATCCCATAAATAAAATTACATGATTCTCCAAAATTACTCAATAATTATTCCTTTAGTCATGATTTACATCCGTTTGTGTAGGAGTTATTATATTATAACCATTAAAGTGCTGAAAAATTCTTCTTGAATTTAACTGATTGCGCGGCATGATTGTAGACCCAATTTTAGGTATGACTTTAGGAGCGGTTACGATTTACTTTTTAAAATTAACTTTTTCCTAATTTGTCCAATCACTTTTTTATTCTTGGATAAATTCTCCTTTTTATCTTATTTTTTTATATTCTTTTTGAGATTTTATATTTAAACTCATATCGATAATTTGAAGAGTTTTTATATTTAAGTCTTATTATTTAAACATTTAATCTATCAAATCTTATTTCTCATATTTAAGATATTTTATAAACAATTTTAGCCTTACAAATATTTTTTTTAACCATTAACAATTTAGTGATATGAATATTCATATTTGATAGTATAATGTTCATATTAACAATGTGAATGTTCACATCACGGAATATTCACACTGTCAATGTGAACATTAATGCGTCCTATTATTATTAGAGGTATTTTGTAACTATATCACCCATAACACTTATTAGAATATAATAAAATAATTTGAACTAAGTGGAATATAAGTAATTAAAGAGAGATTTATGAATAAATATCTCTAAAATTAATTAGTACTTCTAATCATTAAAATTAGAAATATTTTAGAGAATATTTGGAGTTTGCTTTTTTAATGGTTTTTTTTTTTTTTTCGAAAAGAGTGAAAAACAAATAATTTTGTTAGTATTTTTGCTGATTTTTTTTTTTAAACTTTTTAAATTTGTCTATACAAGACGGACTAGAATTTTTTTTTTTACATAATTTAAATAAAAAATTTAAAAAATATATGACTTTTTTAATTGTATGAAAAATATGAACAAAAACAATATGAGAAATTAGAATTAACAATTGGGGAGTAGGATTTCAAGTGGAGAGGTACGTGGTGGGGGGAAGTGGAAGGAGAATCTCAGCCATTTTTTCAGATACCGAGATTCCAAAATGTAAGGCACTTTCGGTCTGTTCGATTCTCTACGTTACCATTATAAAGAAAGATAGGGTGGAATTATTCAATATTATCCTATCATCATATGATATTGTGATATTGTTGATAGATATATGTTTTCAATGTGGTAGTAAAAAAGTTTATGAGTAGAATAATATTAATTATTTTTATGAGGTTTTGTTAAGTTTATGTTTATTTTTTGGATTAAATTATTGATGTCCTAATATTAAGTTAGAAATATAAAATAAAATATATTTATTTATGTACTAGCTTGCAATAATTTCGCA